CCATGCCGGCTGATATACCTTTTCGCAATGTTTCGTTGGCTCATACGACGCCTGTAGCTCATTCTATGTGGGCTGATTGCCCGAGTTCGAAGAGGGATGATCACTGCTGTTATCGGAGCCTCAGAATGAGGAAGACCACCATGGTTGCACTTTGAGAGCGGGGGTGGAATTTGACGGAATCTGTCGACAATCAAGATGAAGACAACCCTGAAAAGATCATGGTCGATGCTCACACCTCTATAATTCAGACAAAAAGTGGCGGGAGAACGATATCGGATATGTGCAGCAATAATCCTCTTGTCCGTTACTCAGATTCCCGCCATTGTATTTGGTGGAACCGACAGGAGACAGCCAGACAACGTGAACATGGACACATTGATTCAGGCCTATAATGCAGCCTTCGCAGATGGGTTATTTCCTGTGGACAGGTGTGACTCCTACAATCGTCTAGCCTAGCCTTTTTTTGATCTGAGGTACTGCATTATTGCTGATGAAAGAGGTCTCAATATTAGTGGAGGTCACCGCTAACGACTTGTCATTGCGCGCAGAATGAAGAAAAGTCATTGATCCTAGTCCTGGACGAGCCACGGGGTCGGTTAATGCCGCAGGCGAGAATCTGGCCGAGGTAACAGTGAACCATGCAGAAACCGGCTGCTCAATGATCATGATTACCCATAAACTATTCACGGTTCTCGTGGCTTTATATCATTGTGTTGCGACAAGGCATGAATACCCGCCAAAGCACTCAATAACTAGATTTTGCTCAGGCAAAGTCTATCATACCTAGCCCACGGCAGAAATTGAATCCGATGGCCGAGGCTAGAGAGGTAATGGTAGAATATGAAGAAGAGAGAGAAGAAAGAAGGAAGAGCCGCATGCCAGCAAATATCCAGTAATCAGCATGGAATTGGGAACGGTCGCGAAGACATTCACTACTAGACCAAATGCTTTCTGAAGGAGGTTATATTGTTGTAAGCAACCAAAGTGGTCAAAGGCTTCCATAGGTCGTAGATCTCACTGAGTGTGTTTGGTGTAGCTGGTAAGTTGGCTTTGACCTGTGCAATGGTCTGTCGGCTATCCTGGGATAGACACAGCATGCCTCTCGCTCCAACTTTGGCTCGTCGCAAAGTTGGTCAAGATGTTCCATTGTTGAGGTTCGAGGTTGATTGACGCGCCCAACTTTTAGTCTTGGATGTTCTTTACTCTTGTCGAACTAGTATATCATAGACATAAGGCTATCCTGTGATGCACGCTCTAGGAGAGAGGAACCGATGGTCACCATTGTGTGGCGTCAACTTACCGGAAGTATCACTTCCTTACGTTGCCTCCACACCTCCTATCATACTTTGACATGCAAAGTTTTCGTCTGGAAGCCTGATCTCCCTTTCCTTTGTAGACCCAAGCAGCTCCATGGATTATTGGGACTTCCCGCTCATGGCAACCCCTGCGCTTTCGGCTGAAGGTTGGAAGCCATAATGTTCTTGGCCTGGGGGCCTTTTCTCTTGGTCGCCGAGTTCATGAAGATTCGACACGAATTCAATATAAGACAGGATGAACGCGGAGGCTGTTGCAAGTATCTCTGGTAGAGGACTCCGACAGATGAACGCCCTGACAACGAAGAAGGCGATTCTCCGAAGATCACACTTCTGAGAGGGCGGCGGCGGAGATGAATTCGTAAGGCGTTGGTTGGCATCCTAGTGTTTGCGTATTCGGCTAACGTGGCACTGTTTACCATGCCGCTGACGTCCTCTGTCCCGCGCAGTTTTGCTTAAGAAATGGAAACGCCGATCGCATCGATAGCGCTTCGTACGGGGGCGGAATCATCGCATTGGGGAAACACGACACCGTTACCTTCGCTGAGTGTATTGCAATATTCCAGGCGGGACATTCTCATGGGCAAGTCTTCAGCTCTTCAGCTTCGGCGCAAACATCGCCCAGGCCAAGGCTTCGGAAAACTCGATATCCGAAGAGAGGAACATACCAGGTGCGATGACAAAGGAGAAAGGAACTGAAAATTTAGACTGCCGATCGCGGCTTGACGGCAGATCTGGTGTTTCAGGGCGTTGCCTTCGAGCAAGTCGGCTCCATGACGCCCACCTTTGTCCACTCGAACCTGACAATTGCAAGTGGGTCATTTGTAGCCTTTGCGGATGCTTCCCGCGGCGGCAAGTCCACAATCATTCGTTGCTGGGACCATTCGACCAGCCAATCTCGGGGACCATCCTCTTCGGGCGACGCAAAAACGCCGTATCAAGTTGGCATATAACCGTCGAGTTCCGTCTTTAGTCACCCAAGGCCCCAGATATTTGCTGGGACCATCGGACGTAACTCCCTGCCTGGCCTAGAACATCAAACACTTTCAGCAGGGATTTTAGTCATGAAATGACGCAGGTGTGCGAAGACACGACTCTCATCAATCCAGCACATGGAAGGCAGCTGGCTATCCGACTGTGCTGGGGACTGTTACGCATACTGCATTTGTCGGCAGCCATAAGCGGCAGTCAGAAGCTGCTTGAACTGTGGATCAGTGCATCGTGCGTGTCTTGCTATACAAACTTCACTGCTGATTCTGGATGCAACCGCCTCAGGTCTAGATTCTCATTTCAAAAAGTTGGCCAGGGAGCCATGGAGCATCTGGCATCCAATCGTGATTCGCCAGTGAGCGTTGGGGCACACCGATTAGCGACGTACCTAAAAGGAAGTCATGATCTTCGGTCTCGGCGAGAGCTGTGCTAGCCGGGTTTCTCATGTTCTTGAGAAGGGATATCATCATGACTTGCTGCACAAAAAGGGTATCTAGTGGCTGATGGTAAGAGTAGCCTTTTCAACACTTATTGCGATACAAGACGGAGAAACCGGTTTACTAAATGGCCAGTCATTGGCGGTGTCCAGAACAACTTGACGATTGAACCAGTAGTAACTTTATCATAGCATGTAGTCATAAGTAGATGATTAGTAGTGATTTGGAAGCAAACCAGGCGGACAAGGTGAGCATATCAGTGAAAAGAGTTGTCCTGAGGGGTATAGAGAATGGGTCAGCTAAGATGGGATGGGTAGTACGAGTCTTCATCACCATGACAGAATAGTCCGAGTTACCCATGAAAGCTGGTCTATGCCTGAAGCCCACACATGGATGTATGAAACAGTGATATAACCGGATTGGATGGAGGAAGTGGGCGAATTAGAAAGGCGGTAACCGCGAGTTTCTGCCGCTGCCTGTGAGTAACACTTGCGGTAGGCGGTACGCAGTTCTTCTGCTTACCTTCCTCTGGTCTCTCTTTCCCCTTTCCCCCCAGAAGTTCTTCCATCCGTCTATACTTCCTTTCTGGGTTCATAGCCTCTATGGTGTCGACGTACCTTCCGGTTTGGGTCCCTGCCCTAAGGTAAAGCGTCCAAGCATCCAACCAAGCCTTGAGCGTCTTTCAAGGTTTCGGCACGTAAGGCCGCTCCATCATTGCCGGGGAGGTGATGGGGAGACCCATCCCATTGGTGCATAGCCTGGTGGACCGGCGCAACATATTACCAAGTTAGGAATTAGAAATCAGTCCAGGCCGCATCGAGTGCAACGACCGCGAGGATCGTCTCAGATGGGACACTTCGAGAAGAACACGGAGATCTGCCCTCTTTTGCGCCCCCAGGCATACATGGGATTGGCCCTGCTATGGTAAAGTTCAATTATGGTACGTGGGATTTTGCCTAGAGAGAATTCAAACACGGTGGGATTGTGCCTGTGTTATGTGACAAAATTTCGGGCTAGATGCCAGTGAGACACCATGTTGGAGGACTGGTCTCCTATGACAAATTCTTTGACCACGAGGACGAAAAATAAATCAGCCACAACGAAGTTTCTGGATTTTTGGACTTTATGTCTTAACAATCTCCTGTATGGCTTAGGTCCCTCTATCGGCCGAGCTCCGTTCTAGACCATTTGGCTTTAGGAGTCCCATCGTTGTTCGGTATAGGTGGGCCATGAACCTTATTGCGCCTCTCAAACTCCAATGAAATCGTCCGGTTGTCTCCAACGGTTCCTGTGTGGGCTCCGGATACCTCATCCAGCTGTCACCAGAAAGATAACTCGACCCGAAGCTTTTAAGACAGGGCTGCCCTGCATGACCCTAAACCTTGGTTTTATGGCTCCGTCAGGCAGCTTGGTTCTATTTCTGTCTCACGGAAAGCTTACAAGAAACAGCTCCCAGTCCCCTGACGGGCGCGTGAAATGCGAACTGTGTCAAGGTACTGCGACTAGGCATCATCATGCAACTCTCTTCCTGACCATGATTTTATGACAAGTATTGAGTCACTGCGAAGCTGTGACACATTCTCCATTCACACATAAGGGCATGATGGAGAAACTGTAGGACGAGTCTGTAACATGGCCATGGACGCTACCGGCGTACATGGATCTGGCTAATCGAAATTTTCGGTATGGACGGATTGGCAATATGACTTCCATAAAGAAACAATGCAGATGTTGGAGTAGCTTACCTGGAGAGAGAAGCGGTTGTGGATTTGGTGTTGGTAAGATGTTAGTCACATCCGAGTGAAGGCACGAAACACGGGGCCTTTCCCTTCCTTGCACCTTCATTGCTTTGATCTAGTTTCAGACTGGTGGATCGTCCCGATCGTATCGTGCAGTCCTCTACCGCCGCCGTTTCAGCGCGGAACCACTCCGAGCTATCATAATTCATAGCCCAGGGTCCAAGAGGTTGATTCTGCACCATGCTATCTGTATTGCTCATGTGTGATTCGTCGTCTTCATCACGGCCTCACGCCCAAGTACCACCTTAGTGGCCTAAGTGATAAACTCTGATCTGCGCCGCTACGAGTGAACCGGGTGCCCACAATAGCTTTAGCCATGAAAGAGAACTCCTTCGACATCTGGGGCGTTCCTATAAGATGACGAGAGGAGCTAGATAACTGGACATTAGTCGACAAGAACATTAGTCGACAATCAGTTCTTCTTCTGCCCGGTGCCATCTGACCGGCCACCACCCGCGAAAATGCCACTGGAAGGACGTAGTGAAGTTCTTGTGGCCGTGTCTGTAGTGGTCATGGCTATATCGCTTCTGACGGTATCCTTTCGATGCTTCGTGCGATGGCGGATGCTCAAAGCATTTGGATGGGACGATACATTGATGGTTCTTGCAATGGTGAGAAAACCCCTCGAGTTTTCCGTCTTTCCCGATCCAATCATAATGGATTGGTATCTAAGCCAAAGCTCTTTTAATTATGAATCGTTGACATGTTTCCAGGTTCTTGATATAGTGATTACCGCGTGCGCAATCGCTGGTGCGAAGGATGGCGTTGGCCGGCATTTGAGTGATTTCCACAGCTTCGATGAATTTCACCATGCCATGCTGGTACGTGATATGGAGTCATTATTCGCCCAAATATACTGTTGAGATACTGAATGGCCTGTCTAGTGGTGGTGGCTGGGCCAGTGCATCTATATCTGGGCGTCCGGCATCGCTAAAGTATCCATTGCGCTGGCGCTCCTCCGACTGTCGGTTCACACGTATCAGCGCATAACCTTGTGGGTCGTTATGGGAGCATCGATTTGTGTCAGCTTGGTGTTCTGGTTCTTCATGCTTTTTCAGTGCCATCCTGTCTCAAAATTCTGGGAGCGGACAGGACCGGGCAATTGCATGAGCACCGATACGCTGATTAGGGTGGCGTACGTATACAGTGGAATCTGCGCCGTCTGTGACTTTGCGCTGGGACTTTTGCCCATTGATCTCGTTCGCCAGCTGCAAACCACTCTCAAGACAAAGATCGCGCTGGGCGCGACCCTGAGTCTAGGTTGTGTGTACGTAAATCCACCGATGCTGTTGGTACAGCAGCTAACATGTGGCGTGTCCAGGGCGAGTACAGCTGTTATTCTTCGGATACCTTGCCTGCATTTCTACAAGGATATCGATTTCTTGTGTAAGTGCCATGCCTCATGACCCCCCTTTAATTCATTATACCTACTGCGATAGTCCATGTTTTGTTTGTTGTTGCTCCTTTCAAGTCAAACATGGCCAAGACGGCTAACTCTTCTCAATCTACATGTGTGACAGATTCGACCTTTTCCATCGACATCTGGTCCTTTATCGAGGTTGGCTTGGGAATTACAGCAGGTAGTCTGGTCACTCTCCGACCTCTCTTTCGTGCAGTTCTCGGGGACCCACCTGACCGCAAGGGCAAGAAAAGCCGTGGAAGCATGCCACTGACCAGCTTCACGGAGTATACGCGGACCCGGCCTGACCCTGAAGATGCCGCAGTGTGGCAATCGCCCCAGCCTGATGCGACGCGGAACATAACCACCACGGTGGTTTCAGCTTTCCGGGCGAGTTTAAATAGTCCCCTCACGCCAACGTTTGCGGCCGAGTTCAAGAAGGGTCGGTCTGTTCGGATCAAGAGGTCATTCCATGTCACAGAAGAACATGTGGGCTACTGAACGGGGAGAAGTTTGCCCTTTATAGAGTATATAATGACACTAAAATGATCTTGTGGAAAATATTATTTGAGCGACTGTCAAGCGTAGAGAGAAGAGGGAAGCGAGGGAAGAGTGGAAACAGAGAGAGAGAGAGAAAGAGAAAGCTGGACGCTGACGGCTGACCGGTTGGCCTTATTTGCACAGGCTCGATGGGCACCTGACCCTGTTTGCCTTCTAGAGTACTAGTAAGTAGTGAGTACCTAAGTAATAATAGTCCTCCTATACTACTATTAGTAATACTGTCTTCTCTGGTCAAGCTTCCTCTTGCCAGCTATTCGTCTAAGCAACACAATCTAATCTACTATCTCCTCTACCCAAACCATCCAAATTAAATCTATATGTGCATTGCAGGCTAACCTAGAGGGGAATGAGAAAGGAGGTCATGATTGCATTCAACCAGCTACACAATGAGACTGATAGAAACCAACATCTTCACGTCCGAGAAACACAAGATGAATGCCCCTCCTGTCAAGGTACCCCCCTTCACACCTCAGAGTGGCTTATTATTACACTAAAGTTCACTTCAGGCGAGCTTCCAACACCACCATGGGCACTCCGGGTGCCTTGTATACGTTGGCCAGTTGCAACCCCGCTAGATCGAAGAGGTGCGCAAAATCCTTCACCGTCCGTTCTCTCCCACCAAACGTCATCATGGTCAAGTCCATATACGCGTTAGTTGCGGTCGCGCCCACTTCAGGGATGATCGTCTCCGTGATGAGAATTCGCGACCGCTCCCGATCCATCGCGACCGCCAGCTGTGCGAGGACCTGACGAACCTCCTCATCGGGCCAGTCATGCAGCACGCGACGCACAAAGTACACGAGGGCGCCTGATACATATGATCAATGTGTCATTCAGACCGACAGTGGGGCTGTGGGAATGGTGGGGACGGCTTACCCTGCACAGGTTGAGGGTTGAAGAAATCATGCGCCATCGGCTCAATTCCGTGAGCCTCCATCTCCGGACCATTATCAGTAATGACACTCTCGCGATCCTGCAGGATATACCGCCCGGGGACACCTGCTAAGCTCTCCTTGAGCTGACGCAGAATATGCCCACGACCCCCGCCAACATCCACGATAGTGGCAGTGTCTGGCTGTGCAAGTGGCCCCAGCGTAGACTTGAAGGGATATAGACCAATCTCCGCCAGGAGAGAATCCTCCGCTACCATGGCATCATTCAGCCGGGTTGCACGGGCCGGGCTCTGTGAAATGTACTCAAACATGGTCTGTCCATCGCAGCCATGCACGAAAGTGAAGGGATTGCGGCGCAGTTCGATGCGATGCTGCCAGCCCTGCTGCACGAAATATTCATGACCCCGCAGCATCGCGGGTGAGTACTCGTCGACCCTGTTCCAGCAGGTGGCTCTAGTTAGCCGTCGGACATGTTTCAACACCCAGAGAAGGGGGTTGCCGCCGCACTTACATTAGACTAAAAACCGCCCGCATCTGGGGTGCCAGCAGGATTTCCGACTCGGCGGTGTGGGCATACAATTCCTCCCCTGTCTCGCGAAAGGGTCCCAATGGAGTCAGGGCGCGCATATGGCGTACTGGAACCAGGTCAGTTCAATTAGGCAATGACAGGGAATCCCCCGGCAGCGCCGACCGGGGGTATCCAGGAACCCAAGGATGGCCTACCGATAAGTTCTTTGTCGACCCCTGTTGTGGCGGCGATTTCCGAGGCCGAGATGCTCTGTCCACCGGTCGGGATGGCATCCAACACCCCGGCTTCCAACAGGGTCCGGATTGCGCCTATTCGAACCATCTAGCATAGCGTGCCATAGTGTATCGTTAGCCTACATGGTGTATTCCAGATTGACCGATGATGGCTGGGGTTAACCTGGTGCATACATGTTCAAAGTTGGCAAAGACGAGGTCGGCCGGGCCCCGAACAGCATTGACCAAGCGAGTGGCCCGAGCCATCAACTGGTAGCGAGCATCCTGACTATTCGGAGTGGTCGCTTGACTGCGATACTGGTCGACCGCGGCCGTGACCTCGGCCAGACACTGCTGAATCTGCTCAAGATTGGGATCAAACTGCGCCATTGGTAAGAAGTATAAAGACAAGGGTATGTAACCGGGGTCCCTGGTAGTAAGTATGGAACCACTCCGTTGGGAATGACCAGGGCGACCTACCTATTATACTTGTCACACTTGGCTCCAGCATCAGGGGGAACATTGAGATCTTGCCAGGTTGATTGGCGGGAAGCGAGTGGATAGGCAACGCGACCTGCAGCGATAGCGCCAGACGGCGTCCAGGCAGCGCCGGTGCGCCACAAGCCGATACGTCCAGCTTCCTCAGCCAAGTCGGGGAAACAGCCGACAGGAATACGAGGTGACCCTCCAATAGGTACGACAAAATCCGGATTCAAGGTAGAGACGAAGGATCATGGTTGGTGGACGAGCCTCTGTACTTTGCTGTGGATGGACCAGGCCAGGGCCTGTGCTCGCCTCACACACATTCCGTTCGACCACTGTTCTCCCCCATCATCCCGGATAGCAGCTCGACGAGACTATATTCCAAACCCACTCAACTCACTTCCTCCGCCGATCATCCGTTCACCCCCTCACATTCCCACCCCAGCTGAATTTCCCCTCCTTGTTCGGCTCCACCAAATTATGTACGACCGTCGAACCAGTCAGCCTGGCTTTGTGATATCTCCCGACAGGTTCTTGGGGCAACCCCAGGGTCTTCGAACCTGTCATGTTCCGCCCAGATTTCCATCCACCCCTGCATCTGACAGATGCAACAGATGCGCATCCGGGATCACTGACAATGCCCCTGACAGGGATAATCGGACCACTATATCCCAGACTAGCCTCGTTGTCACACGATCCAGGCACACAGGAAGCTTTCTCCCATATCCTTTCCAACCAGACAGGGAAGTTTGATGGCCAGTGGCGTCTCCCCAATGGGATAGTGACGGCCATTTTCAGTTCCCCGGAGATCGCAAACTATACGATGCAGGTGAGAATGGTCTCTCGGTAGTCGCTCCGGCCTGCATACGAACGAGTCCATTCCTCCGCGCTCGAGCCAGTGCAAATTGGAGGAGAGCACCATGAACGAGAAGGATAAGTAGCGAAGCGACGGCCAGCGTCCTTTGCAATCTTCGCTTTTGATCAGGACCAGCTCTCTCAAGGACGCGCAAAGACAAGCCTCTCCCATCATGCCGTCGGTCGACCTCAACCAGATCCCCGCCTCTCCGCCTCCCGATGGCGTGACGCCCAACTTTGTGAACCCACCAAACCAGAACTATCAGATCTATTCTATCAACATCGCCCTCTGCCTCACAGGCACGGCCGTCTTGATCCTCCGCTTGTACACCCGTGGTAAGCTCCAGAAGACCATTGGAGTTGATGATTGTGAGTGCCCATCCCGCACATATTATGAGGACACCCTACTGATGGGCTCGCAGGGTTCTGTATCTGGGCACAAGTGTGCGCGTGGTTGTTTGCCATCTTGTGCATGCTCAGTATGTATCAAGACTAAGATGTACGGTAATGGCGTTACTAATATGCGCAGACATCAGGAACGGATATGGGGTCCACATTTGGGACTTGTACCTCAGTAAGATCAAGCCTTTCAAGCAGGTACGTATCAAAGGCGCGTACCACACATAGCGGGCCGCCACTAATAATTGCAGTATGATCTTGCGGCCGAGGACATCTTCGTTGTCGGGATCTGGCTGGTCAAAACGTCCATCTTGTTGTTCTACCTGCGCTTGAGTCCCGAGAAGCGGTTCCGGCAAATGACATATGGCATCATGGTCTTCGTTGCCTTGTACAATATCATCAGTTTGCTGGTCTTTACCCTCGGCTGTATACCGGTGCAGGCTAGTTGGGATGTGACCCTAATGCCGACAGCCAAATGTGTTGATCAACTCTCCTTTGTCTACGCCAATGCGGCTTTCAACCTGTTCTCCGATCTTATCACCTTAGCACTACCCATTCGACTCTGCTGGTCTCTTCAGACTACTCTCAAGCAGCGGGTGCTATTGATGATAGTGCTGATGATGGGTTCCTTGTAAGTGTCTCACGTATGGTCATCACTCTCCCTAGTTAAGCTAATATGGTGATTTCGTAAACAGCGCGTGTGTGATTGCAATCATCCGAATTGTGACCATGATGCCATTTGTCTCTAGTATGGATCTTACCTGGTACAAGGTAACTTTAGCCAAGTGGGCGTAAGTATTCGTACCTTTTTCACTCTTATTTGGGCACTCAGCTGACACGTAAACACAGCATGGTGGAGATCAACGTGGGTATCATCTGTTCGTGCCTGCCGGTGATGCGGCCTCTACTCATCCGGTTTTTCCCCACTGTTTTTGGCAGCCACGCCAGCAGTGGAGTCAGGCCCATCCGCCCTGCCGATGCCAAGGATACTTTCGGCGCGGCGCGCAAGAAGGTCATTCGCAACTGGGACTACCTCAGTACGATCAAAGGAACCCACGCGGGTGAGACTACCCAGGATGTTGAGAGTCTGCACGAGGAGCCTAAGCAAGAAAATGGCAATTCCGAGCCGGCTATCATGATGGCGACCGAGTATTCGGTGACCTGCAAGCGGCGGTCGGAATAAATGATCAATTAAAATGGCTTTTCGTCTTGAAAAGTGCTCAGCCATTTTCGAGGAGAAGGCGTCAATAATGGGATCCGAATCACAGAGACCTGTCTTGGGCAGACATGCTTGAATGGGGATCTCATCATAGGGGCGGCTGGCTGTATCTGCTATCCACTAAATTAATCTGAAGGGCCAGACCCGGCTCACTACTACATACACTAATAATCAAACGTTGATATCATTTATTTAGTTGTAAAGGATAGCAGTCGGTGGCACACTACTACGTTTTGTGTTGAGTGGCGCGTGAAGCACACGAGTTTCACAGCCGACAAAAATATCAGCAGGCCAAGAAACGATGGTAAGAGGTTAAGGAAAAATAGGGTGTTGTAAGTTTTCTTAAAAGGTAGTTGATGGGGAGTATGTAGTTTAGTTTAGTTTAGTTTATTCTCTTTAACCTAATGCATCCGCCTGGTTGCGTATGTAGCTATGTAGAATATATTCCCTGCCTAATATCAAGACTTTTTAATTCTATAATAGAATCCTAATGTAGTAAATAGACAGATCTTGTATAGAGTCCAGAAATCTATATATAAGCAGATATTTTTACGGCCTGATAATTTTTTTATTGTATATTTAGACCAGATACCTCCAGAATCCAGATCCCTGATTATTCCTTATTACTGTATAATTACTTTTTATATTTTCTTATACAAGGATTGATCCCAAAGCTAGCACTAGTTCTAACTATCTATATAAGATATATATATTAAGGATTAAGGAATTATTTAGAGACTACTATTCCTCTCCCTCTGACTTTAATAGATATATCTAACCTTAAATCCAGCTCCAGGTTCCAGAGAAGTTCATTCTTCCTAGACTTTCTCTGCATGGATGTCTCCGGATAGAGTAGATATCCACAACAGGATTCAAACAAAGGGCCCCCTACCTCTTCCTGTACCAGCAGGGCCTTCCTGGTGATGTTCTACCACTACGCCACCGCAGGCTCGCGTAGTAAGTATATAGATCTGCCAAGTACCGCTCACCAGAGGCATTCAGCTTCTGGAAAGACTATCTGCGAGGATCTCGTCTGACCACCTTATCGGACCCGACCATTTCAGGAGAGGCCAAAGCTACAGATGTGAAAGCAATCAGGGCTGGTGAACTCCCCTCGCCACTGCCAGGAATCACGCTCGCATCCTTGTTAATGCAGCATTCGCTTTCACATTGGCCGAGACGGTCAAAGCCCACGACGTAACATATGGACTGTCTTTGAACGCCCGTGAACTCATCCCAGGAGTGGAGACTCTCCTTGGACCCTGCTTCAACTGCAGTCCCATCAGAGTGCAATTGCAGCAGAATTGGACGGTCCGTGACCTCTGTCGGAGCTTACAGGAGAGCTGTACCTTGGCCTCCCGTCACGGATACGTCGAACTGTCCGACATCATTGCTAATTGCACTGACTGGCCGGCGGGGAGTGACTACGGCTGGTACTTGGATAATTTCCCTACGCAAAGTATTCCATCGTGCTCGCTCAATGACGCCGAAGTTTTGCAATATTCAATGGACGGCCGGGGCGATTTGCCGCATCAGCTGCGAGTTCGTTCATTCGTTGATGAGCGAACCTGGGAAATACAGGTGCTTACTTCGAGCAATGTGATGGGCAATGAGCAGGCTTCTGTGTTGGCTTCAATGCTTTTGCAAATTGGGCAAAGATTCTCGCAGTCCCCAGAAGTCGCCTTGTCTTCACCCCTTTTGCGCGACGGTTGTGTTGATGGAGCAGTGGATGGTGTGGCGTTTTCAGTTGCCCGAGATGAGAACGGGATTCGCCAGGAAATTCCGGTCTGACCATATGTAGCATGCTGATCTGCTATTTATACTTGCTGAGCTCAATGCAAAGCTAGTCCTTGAGCATAATCTGAGCTTTCAGGGTCGCAGGACGTTATATATGTATTGCTTTTCATATGCAATCAAGCGTGCTATTCGCCTCGATGTATTAATGGTGCCTTCAGTAGCACCAAGCTTTCTTCCAGAATGGGTTTGTTGACTTCTGCTGTCCCCTTCAGATAGGCAAAGGCATAGAAAAAATGGGTAACGGAATCTACAGTGTATCCTTCAATACTCGGGGACCAAGTAAAATGTGCCGCGCTATATAGCAGCCTACCAAGCTCGCCGAAAGACTGAAACGTCTATTGCACACATGATGCAAGTGCATTAGAGCATGATTGCATATTATTCGTATAGGAAGTAAATATTAGGTACAGCATTCGCGACCGTAACATGTCATAAAGTCCCATCATCCATCGTCATCATCTGGCCGTATAGACACAAAATTATTATTTTCCCGCGACTGCTTGGGAAAGTGGCCATTCCTCCCTTCTATACATTGTTCCATCATTCATTATGCACCATCCACTCAAATTGCATCGACATTATAGTAGAAAATATCATAAAGTCAATCCCTTAGTTGCACACCAACTTGTAGCTGACATATTCGGCATCGCCTTGGAGGCATTGTCCCAGGGTGACGTTGTGCTGGCCGGCGGAGCAGTTGTCTTCGGTGAATATTTGCACTGTATAGAGAATTAGCAGAGAACGCGAAATATATAATTTTAGCAAAGGAGAAAAGCTTACCACCACAGCCGGCGACATTGTATTCGAAGCTAACAGACTCGATGGTTTGGTTGCCGGGGAAGGTTTTGCATTGGTTGAGAGCCGATCTGTAAATGCCCAGTTCGCCCATGTTTTCATTGTAGCAGCCAGGTTCGCCGAACAGGCGAAGTTGAGCGAGACGAGTGTCGCCGGTAGGGAGGGCCAGGGTTGAGATGACCATTGCCATCAGAGCGGAGAGGAGCAGAGTGAATTGCATTTTGGCGGCTGAGGTAGGATTGGAGATGAGGAGTATTTGTCGATGTAGTAGGGTGGTAAGTGTCGTAAATATTATAAGTTTATATGAATTATTGGGTTTAGAAGAGTGAGGTTGTTGATAATAGAGGGAAACCTAGCAGGTACATGCCCTCTTTTTATAGACAACTGACTGTCAGTCAGCTTGAATGGCCCCAGTTATCGGTCTCCCCGCAACAACAACCACCGACTACTAGTTCTAGCCTAGACTTTCGTCAATTGGGGATATCGCGCATCCGCGGGGGCAAAGATCGGCGCCTTGCTTCGACGATCCCTGCCATTCAAGACCAAAAGTGATGCCGTCCGTCAGCCGAGTTGGACCCTCCCATGATGCCATTGCAACCTTAATAGCGGCGAATCCTCTCACCGTCTTTCCAAGCTCTACCTTTTTCTCTTTTGCCCTTGGGGTTCCTTAAAAATGCCTTCACTAGTATAATTATATCTGCTATTCAATTCATTCACTCCTCTTCTTCTTGCCTCAGTTCCCGCCGTTGAGTGAGAGTCCACTGCCGGCCCAGGTTACAATCAATCGATCGAAGGCGGGGGCTGGGCGCCGCTGAGGCTGGGAGCTTTGGGGGCTGAAGGGGGGCTGGGTAGAGAGACGGCTCACTGCATGCATGTCTCGGATGCGCCACGTCCATCATTTGGGGTTTTCCAAGCCGGGTGGGGATGGCGATCATGGAGCCACAGTGGGATGGGGTGGCCCTGGTGAATCCTGTTCATCCTTCGCTGCAGGTGGACGAGCCGGATCACCGGATCAAATCGGATAATCGAGGGCAGGGCGATTAATCGGCAATAAAAGCCTCCTGGCTTCATTATTGGGAACACGAGAGAAGTTGTTGTGTTGTTATGACTATTGCCCGGATGCGACCGCAGTGAAGGGTTGGAGAGGCAGTCCGACTGATGTTTCTATTCCAAGCAGCAGTCAGTTGGGATGTGCTGGCTGGTGCAGCTGAACACCGCATCACCATCTGTCACCATTCATTGCCGATGCACTCAGCAACCTGTCAATGCCCAGTGGGATGCACTGTGCTAAGAATAGCTGGAATGCAGGATATCGATAAGAATAGAACAGTGTGGCAGGGCTGAGGGGCACGATGCAGGCGAAGATTATCACTGGGGTGATGATGTGGATATTATGTTGGACCCTCACAATGCCAGATAAATCACACCAAGCAGTCAGCAGTGCAACCTCATTAACATGATTCTCAATCCATCTCATCACATCACATCGCCAATTATTCGGTAGAAGATGGGGATGGACACGGAGCAAACCGCGTCACACCGACAACGCCAAGGCAGTGGCCGGTTCACAATCGCCACACTGTGCCAGGACAACCATGTCGCCTCGGAATGACCTGGATGTAAATCCCTCCCAGCCAGCTTCATTTATTGAAATGGATTGTGCAAACATCTCCCAAGGATCCAGAGGTTGGTCGATGGACTAGCGGGGGAGAGGCGATATTCACAACTCTCGTCAACCACCCTTCCAACATCACGGACTCGCAATGGACGGAGACCGGTTCGACTGGAAGAAAGTGACTTGGATACGGAAAACAGATTCTACTGCCAGCTAACACTTGTAGAAGACTTTGACAAGATCGGAGCTGCATGCAAAGAACTTCAGGCGATATCCAAGCAAGATCCCGCAGCGTCGGACTCGCAGACAGGTCCAAGAGTATAAAAGTCGCCGAGCAACCCGCGTTATCCTCCGTAGATGTCGTCCGATCGCATACTAACTGCAGCGGGACGAGCCCGCTCTCCATCCCGATCATGAAGAAGGGGAGAGAAGTCGTGGAGATGCCATTTCGCCTATGGCATCGGCGTAACTCCGGATGTCCGATCAACTGCTCTGCGAGATGATCATTCTTCCATCGACCTCCGATCGGACCCCAAAACACAATGACACCTCCATGATTTATCCCTTGAGGCAATTCTAGACTTTCGAAGGGATGCTCTAGACCTTCTGCCTCACCGCGCAGGGCTCCGACGCGGCCCGCCGGTCGGCAAGGATGCATTACTCGTGTCAATAATAATCGCTTGCCTCGCCGGGCAACCCGCTCTAGACTTACGTACTGCCTTCTGCCGCGGCTGGTGGGCTCCACCGAACATTCTTGGATTCGGGGTTATCCCCAACAACTGGACACGGATGGATCCACTCCGCCATCATCTTCCACTTCCCTCAACACTGGACTTGACATTGAGCAAGATGCAAAGTATTCAGTTCGTAGATGGTGGCGGAATGGGAGGATCACAACAAACATTACGATTGGATTTTCCTACCATGTATCTTAGCTAGTATCATATGAATTGGACATAGTCAGCTATATCGTACACGAAGCCGGAATTGTTCTCACGTGTACTCAGTTGCCTCGGGTGGATTCTCAGGACAGAAGCTTCCGATTATACTACTTGAACATGGGGTGTCTAAGCATCATCAGACCCATAACTATTTTATATTCCGTTTCAGCAGGATCCTTGATCGTCTGTCCCATAAAAAAGGCTTCAATTCTGACTTCCACTACTAGTAGTAGTCTGCTATCTACGAGCACGAAGTTATAAACGCTACTTAGTGATCGTGGGTCCTACAAGGTGACCATGTTCAGGAAATTATACTGCCAATTGTCACTTACTGCCACTGGTTCTACGAGAATTATTACTTCCATGCTACTCTGCATACTACCAGAAGTCCGATCTTCAATGAGTTCACATGCTACTAGTAATTCGGCATAATGTAACTTGGTGTGTGTATATATATTAACTGCCAAATCGCGTGTTTTAGTACACTGTCAGTTTAATTCAATTGGTAAGATGATCAAAAGAGACTAACTCCAATCTTCCCCAAGTAGTATCAGATAGACGACCCTAATAACAAACTCAGACTTGATGCTATAGCACACAGACAGTGACAGTGCCTTTGAGTTGAACATGCCCACACATATGCACGCATGTACATAAGGCGCAACGGATGATACGGAGGTCCGCACCGCCCGGAAAGGTGGAGTCGACTTCTGCGGCCACCCGCCGATAGCATCCCCGATGTCAACATCTGCGAGAGATCTACATTTCTAGGTTTGCGGTAGCACCTGGATGTAGGTATTCTTGTCAGAAACAGCACCCAGCTAATTAGTGCTCCAGATGCAGGATGAATGGAAACGATATTCCCCCACAAGAGACAGTGCAGGGGAAAAGATAAAGACCTCCGCAACACCTCCGTAGACGTTAACGGGCAGCGCTAGACTCGTGATAGGTTGGTTTAGCCGATAAAGGAGCCAGGTGGGAGAAGCTAATGGTGGTTCTGGCTCAGGACCAGCTTCCCTTTTGTTGATGCAGGGATAAAATACAGCCACTGGGCAATTCATACAATCTTTGCAGTGCTTCTGTGGACAGAAATTGGGATGCATAGCAACAAAAGATTCTAAGTGCGACTTAAGATTTCACATCATGCGCAGAAAGTGCTCTTTCTGCCTCCCTTGGAAATGTAGACAGAGGCTATGCTATGCTCTGGAAAGCGCGATTGGCTACGCCTGAACCACCGAGCCCTCATTAGCGCCGAAGCGTTCGACCGGCCGACCAGACAGACTGCCCGGCTACCCATCACGTTACAGACGCTAATGCAAGGTCGCTGTGCCAGATAATTGCTCGGTTTCAAGGGACATGGGCGGTTAGAGTAGATGGGTGATGTCCCTGAAGCTGGCATCGCCTCTTTAATCTGAGCTCCTGCCGCGACAGAAGTAATACCTCGCTTTTTTGCAATGCTCCATGTCCCATTATCTGACTTAACGAAAGCTACATCGTCATGCCTACCACACCCGCGAAAGAGGCGTTGCATCAGCTGCAACGAGAACAGTCTAAGCTGCTAGATGGCATCGACGAGTTACGAGCGATTGGAGTCGGCAGCCTCGTGGAACTTCCTCAGCTGGTGGTCTGCGGTAACCAGTCAAGTGGAAAGAGTTCCGTCCTTGAAGCTATCTCCAGAGTTAGATTCCCAGCGAAAAGTAACATCTGTACGAGATTCGCGACCGAAGTCATCCTGCGCCGAAGCCCAACACCCACAATTAAGATCTCCATCGAACCGGGGCCATCGCGTAAAGATGCACGAGAACGAGCAATTCTGCAGGCGTTTGCACAGGAGCTATCCCCAGCCGATAATGATTTACCAACTGTCATCGAGAAGGCCAAAGGCCAAATGGGCGTAAATGAAACAGCCCATTCTGGATTTAGTGATGATGTTCTAAAAGTCGAGATTCTGGGGCCTGATCAGCCAGAATTGACCTTGGTGGACTTGCCTGGCCTTTATTACTCTGTGAGCCAGGACCAGAGCTTGGAAGGAATCAGGGTAGTCCGAACCTTGACGGAAAAGTATATGAAGAACAAAAGAAGTATCATCCTTGCAGTCATCAGCGCAAAGGCCGACTACCATCTCCAGGCGGTTCTGAACATTGCTGAACGGTTTGATCCAAAGCGGGAGCGCACGCTCGGAATCATCACGCAACCGGATACTCTTGAACCCGACTCAGAGGAGGAGAAGACGTATATCCAGTTTGTCTCTAATGAAAAGATTCGATTACAGTTAGGATGGCACGTCTTGCGCAATCGCTCCTTTGAAACACGGGATATCCCGGATGATGCCCGCGATGCAAGAGAGAAGGATTTCTTCAACCAAGGCCGATGGTCCTCTCTATCCAGGGACAGTGTTGGAGTTGAGAGTCTCCGGCGACGCCTTAGCAATATCTTATTCATGCAAATCCGTCGTAATCTCCCTGGGCTGATAGCTGACATCAAGGCGAAGGCTTCCGACCGGGAGAAGGAGCTCTCGAAGCTGGGTCCTCCACGTACCACGGGGCAACAGCAACGGGGATATCTGCTCAACATCAGCAGCAGCTTTGAGCGTATCACAGGGCAAGCGTTGCACGGCCTATATGCGGACGAGTTCTTTGGTGCGTTGGAAAATATAACTGATAGCCACGACTTCCGGCGACTCAGGACCATCATCAGGCAATTGAATGAGTATTTCGCTGACGCCATGGCCGCTCGAGGCTCTCGTCGAATAATCGTGGATCGTGTTCCGGGGTTCGTTCAGGATTCGATGCAACATGACTTGAAAAACCCTTACTTACCAGGAAGGTTTCCACATTATGTACTTCGGAAGAACCTGGAAGAGGAGGTCGCCGAACAGGCTCGGAAGAACAGAGGAATTGAGCTGCCAGGCAGCGCTAATCAGCTCCTCGTGGGTAGCCTGTTCCGCGATCAGTCTCTCCCGTGGGAAGGGCTTGCTAAAGAGCATCTTATGAAGACCTGGGAATCAGTGCGGTATTTTGCCTTACTTGTGATGCAGCACACAGCCGATGATCATACGTTCTCCTTGCTGGCTGGATCAATTATTGAGCCTGCATTGGACAAGCTGAGGCAAAACTTGCTGGCCAAGCTCGATGAGCTGACTGCATACACAAAACGGGGCCACCCGCTGCCTGTGGGCAAGAGCTTCCTCACACAGATTCAAAAGGCGCGAAGCGAACGGCATCTATCCTCGTTGAAGACAAAGCTCAAATCTTGTAATAGTCATATGTCTGAGGGGGAAGCGCTATTCTCGATGAAAGCAATCGAAGAAGCAACTTCCAACATGGAATTAAACCGCGATGAATATGCGGCGGCTGATATCATCGACCAAATGCAAGCATATTATGATGTAAGAACGAAACAGCAGAAGATCTAGCTTCAGAAAAAAATATGGCGCGTGCTAATAACTCTCTCGCAGACTGCTATAGTGACCTTCGTCGACAATGTCGCAACTCTGGGCATCGAAAATTGTCTTCTTGACCCTATACAGCGTATTATGACTAGCCAGGTAATTAACAATATGCACGATGACCAGGTCCGAGAATTAGCCTCCGAGCCATCCTTTACTAGCGACGAGAGAGACCGTTTGGCCAGTGAGGTTGAGAAATTGCAGGCAGGTCTCCGCACTCTCAAGACCTTCAACATCCAAAAGCCTACATTGAGTGGCCCACCCTCAATTGAAAAGCTGGAAAAACCACGAATTGGCTTTCAGGACATTCACCCGCCAGTCACAGGGGCAAAATCGACGACTCAGTCGTCACTGTTTCCAAGTCCACAAGAAGTGAAAACTCTTAAATCACAAACTACAAAGCCCTTTCACGGAGAGCAAACCCCAAGTGTCTTTAATTTCACGAGTAAGTCGTCATATTACCAGCCAGGACCTCGCTCATTTGTATAAAAGCCCCGCAAACCCCGTCTTCGAAGGGCTTCGAAAATCCGCCCTTACTAAGTGCGAAAAAACCACCCAAGGCGACTTCGTCAACCAAACTCGACTTCGTGACCAAGAAGCCCAGGGTAAGACTGCCCCAAACTGCTGAGATTTATGAAAAGGGCGGGGAGAAAGCCAAGGTGCCACCACCTGACCAACCCAGCCTGTTCTCTGGAATCTTCATCCCAGATAATAGCCACCAGTAATGTATGCCGAGTATAGTTGAGAATTTATTAGCTTGCCTGGATGATTCTGAATGCAAACAAGGTCAATTGAAGTGGTTATTCTCAAGTATTGACGGATTTCTGCTCATGTAACATAACTCAGATAGTGTATAGCCCGGGCTATCTCCGATCGTTGGCATTAATATTTGTATACACTGTAGACTATCTCCGCGAATTAGGAATATATTCAGAACCATTTGGTGAACTGCTAGGTTGTCATGTTGTGATAGATTAACCACGGCTGATTCCGTTGCCAACTTTGTCTCTCGTGGCTTATTCGACGGCATATTCCTTGAAATCTTGCCCCAACCCTCGATTTTGCAAATGGTATAAAAGGTTCATCCCTGATGTAGGGTAATGCTCGCAAATAATGTACCAGATGGGGTTTCGAGCAATATTTGTCACCCATACTCAATATCCTACCGAATCGACAGAGTCCCCAGGGAGTGACTATACTGCTTGCCTTTACGAATATGAAGCCCCAAATGAGCTATGACGATGTGGCATGGGAGCAGTCAGATGAAATCTCGGACACTTGGGTGAATAAATTCCTTAACATCGAGGTGAAGAAAGCAATTGCGCATTTTATCCTCACACATGATTCTGGCGACGACCCCGAATTCAGTATTATCGGAAAAGGCTCGTTTAACATCATCTTGCAAATGAAGTACACGCAAGGGGCGACTGATATTCGCTTCCCGCAACCTGGAGCAATCATTTTCCCCGAGGAAAAGACGAGGAACGAAATTGCTTTGATGCGATACCTGTCAAATCGGACATCAATCCCGGTCCCTTCTGTTCTTCACTCTGGGACACGAGATGAGAGTCCGCTCAGACTCAGTCCTTTTATTATGATGAGCCATATTGAACACACGACAAACATGTATACTGCATTGAATGCACCCAGCGGTCCGGTGGAGAAGCGAGGATATCTTAATCCCGACATCGATGAAGAGGATCTTTGGAAGCTCTACGCCGAACAAGCTAAAATTCTTCTCAAGCTTGTCAAGCCAGAATTCAGCTTGATAGGGTCGCTTGTGCAGGTAGATAATTGTACTTGGGAAATAGCCAGTCGTCCGTTATCAATGAACATGAACGAGCTCGTTCGTTTGGGAACATTGCCTCAGTCAAAGCTTCCACCACCCGACGCCACTTTCAAGACTACGTCGTCGTACATGGAAGCGTTAGCACAGCTTAATACCCAGCATTTGATCCATCAAAGGAATGATTCAGTAGAGTCCGCAGACGACTGTCGGCGGAAGTACATTGCAAGGCAACTGTTCTACAATCTTGCTAAGGAAAAGAGGCTCCTCAGCGCACGCCATGAGCATGGGCCATTTAGGCTCTGGTGTGATGACCTCCGACCAGGGAATATTCTTCTAAACGACGATAATCGAGTGACCGGTGTGGTGGACTGGGAGTTTACCTATGCAGCACCGGTCGAGTTCTCATTCGCACCGCCGTGGTGGCTTCTGATCGAGAATCCAGACGAATGGTCTGATGGGATCGAGGACTGGAAACGCATATTTGGTCAACGTCTTAAGACATTTCTCTCGGCATTACGGCACTGTGAGGATGCCGAGGGTCTGCACAGCGAGTTTCGACTATCGGATGAAATGAAAAAGAGTTGGGAGACCGGCGACTTCTGGGTGGTGTATGCCGTTTTACATAGCTTTGCATTTGATGCAATTTACTGGCTGGAAATTGACAAACGGTATTATGGAAACACCGAGACTGACGACGCAAGTGAGGCATGGAAAGAAAGGGTACAGCTCCTAAATGAAAGCCAAAGAGATGAGATGGAACAGCTGGTAGTGAAAAAGCTTGCCGAGATAAAAAATAGGGTATTGGCGTGGGACCCAGATGAGTATACTGAAGAATATTACCAGATACTGAAGCAGAAGAGACAAGAAGAGGTGTGTGAACAGGCTTAGGAGCGTGCGATGTGATTTTCTTTGGGAACGATCGAGGGCGAGAGATCCAGCGCCATCTTGATACAGACGGGTCAATACTTATCCCATGAAAAAAAATTTGCAAAAGTCTTACATATTGGAGCTGAAAATATGATGTTACTGGCAGGCATAGGGAAATCATCCAACATGTACATTCATAAACCTTTGCCGGGAGTTCAAGATACTCTCGCGCAGGATTCAAACAGTAGGATAGAGAATTTCGATAATTTGGCATCGCAGTGATGGGTGATAAATTTCTTGGCCTTTTGGCGATGACATAGTCTGTTAAGTGTATGTGTATTGCTATATAGTAGATCGTCGATTCTCTCAAGGCTAGACCAAAGACGAGATCTGATATGTCGTTGACCAGCCGGCGGAGAGATATGTTCCAACATAAGATTTGATGGGGTCAACAGTAAGTAATACCCAGTCAGGCATATGTATAGAAAGAAACAATGGTATCATCTTGCCAAACATTCAAGTCAAATCGTGGTAAACGCAGAAATTTGGATACTTGAATCAATACCCTATATGAAGAGTCGAGACTCTATTTTGAGATTATATACATATAATGTTTCATACTTCAGTAGTCAAGCACGGCACTGTTGACGGCACTGTTCGGCGAATTCCTCTACTTTGCTGACGAATTGCTCCGTCCAGCTCAGATGCGGGCAGTGACCAGTAGGTGCATGATAGACGGTAAATGCGATTCCCCTCTGAGCTTGCAATGCAATCATCGCTTCTTGGTATGGCGGAAGCAGTGTCGCATCGTTATCCGAGACAAGGTATGCACAGGGCAACGATGAGTAAACGTCATGGGTCAATACGCCTGTGTTGATGGGCGATGCCGTCAATGTTGCGGCCCATTTGGCTGCTTCATCCGCCTCCAAATCATTGAACATGAATCGGTGGGCTTCCACAATGGTTCCTAAGCCAGCCGCTCCATGTTTCTAAAAACGTTACCGTCAATCATGGATGGTTTAAAAAAATTATATGCGAAATGAAACTCACATGGAATCGCATGAATGGCGGCGTGACAATTGGGCCCTCCTTGGGCTGGAAGAAGGTATGTACGGACTCACCAACAGGTATCACAAAGGCATTTTCAAAGAAGACCCCTATCACACCCCCTTTGTGACCCTTGGCTTGACGAGACTTGTAATGTAATTCGGGGACAGCAGCCTGAGAGGCAATGAGACCACCTGATGAATGGCCGAGGACGATGACATCCTTGCCCCCTAGGACTATGAGCTTTTCAAGAAGTTGATTAACGACCTCAACATCGTCCGAGTCAGTGGGATAACCCTCAGCCGGAGGACCCAAGTCAAAGTCTGGGTGATCAATGTCCCCCACGTTGAGTTGGCTGAGATCACATGTCGGGCGCTGGGGGCAATAAGCCTCGAACCCTCTGCGTTCAAGTGACTGCCTAAAGGGCTCATAGGGAGCAGGAGTATGATAGGAACCTGTGCAGATGACGACTGCTAATTTGGTGCTCTCGTTGGTGGCCATAGTGATCCGGGTTACTCGAAAAAGTTCGGTTTAGTTGTGCGACGCGGATGTGACTGGATTGATGATTCAACAAGATAATGCGGAGGGAAAAATATAACTAATCCAACAATGACAAAGGAAGGGCGGAAGAATCTTTAAATTGAGGCACGTTTTGGCCCCCACCAATACAAAAATTTTCCAGTATTGATCCGATAAGATTGATTTGCTCCTGTTTTCCTAGTAGTGCCAGTGGTGTGATGAAAGGAGGCCAGAGCACATAAGGCTCTGTCCGACTGGATTCATTTTTCAAGCCAGGTGAGCCTAAGGATACAACTAAGAACTAGCACATCAGATCGCTGGCGGGAAGATGCCCCCAATGTAGCCGCAGCGTCTGGTATGATCACCAAATCGGGGGAATGGGGCTCAACCTCCCGGACCCCATGAGAGTTGATTTGGCGGTAGCACCTTTCTGCAATAGAGATCACATAATGGAAGACCGAGTAACCCCTGAATCTTATCCAAGAGCAGACAATAAGAGGCGGGATCACCCAAGACGTTGGACTCTTGGTTTGGGTCGCCCAGGAGCAGAAAGATAATCCCAACATTTCAGGTTTGTGCCCTGGCTCGGTCTCCGAATACTTTCAGAACCAATCATATCGGCGGAGATGATAGTAAGCCCAGCTGTCGGCATAACTGTAGTCTGAAATCTGGATACAGCACCAGCTGTGGTAAGAAGATTAAAGCGCCTTGACCGCGACCATCCCGCGCTTCGCCCCACTACGTGTGCCTCTATGCCTCCGTCCCCATCGTGAGGGTTGCCCACATTGGTGAGGCAGTATTGATCCCGCTGAATGACTTCGGCCGGCGCCAGTGGCCGCGTTCAGATTCTGACCAGTTATATCCAAACCGATAAATAATGGCAGCCGTTCGAATTGAGCCGCCCCGCTTCGGACGAAAGGTACACCTGCTCGTTCCGTTCTTTAGTATCTCTCACTTCAATGCGGCACAGCCGCTCACACGTACCCCACCCACGAGAGTAGGTGATTGTTGGTAACACAGATTGTGAAGCTGAAACGTTGCTCATTTTAGAGTAAATGCATGGACCAGGAAGGATTCCTTGACCTTATAATAACGGATATCATTACAATAACGGATCTTGTGGGGATTCAGCCACCCGTCGAAGGAACCGTGCCGTTCCGGTGATTCCGATTGGTGATCTCGATGAGAATCCTGGTCTTCCGAGGTTTCGATAAATATGGGTGACAACTGCGGCTCCTATATGCGCGTCAGCCTAAGCTTCGAGGCGCTCTGCACAAACACCAAGTCAGAATGTCTTGACTATGCAGTACGTTGCATCCGCCGTCAAACGATGTAGCCTTGAGGCGAGTCAGACAGTGGAAACACCAATTTGGGCCCGGCCCATGATGCCTTGTCACTGTCAGATTTTAGTGCGATGAACCACCGAACTTTTAGGCGAGGGGGGGCACCTGGCAACACACAAGCTGTGCCGTGTCTTAATATCAGAGAATTAGATGAATCGTT